GCAAAGAAGTAGAAGAATATTTAAAGGGAAGAATTACGGGCGATTAAAATTTGTTTGAGTTCGAGAATAAGCAACGGAAACGATCATGTTGTTCAAAGACCGATGACCTTCCACAAATTACTCTCAAGCCCGGTCTGACGGCAAACAAGGAAATGTTCAGTGTTTAATGGGATTGGAAAATAATTATCGATCATGAACTGCTACAATGTCAATCAAGAAATAGCGACCAGAATTTTGCAACAGAAATTAAGTTTGGTTCCATCATGTCAATGCCAGGTTAAACAAATCTACGGAATTTAGTTGAGATGTTTTAATGCTTCCTTTTTGATAAAAATCTAACCGACGGAGGTGCCGCTGAAAATCACTTGGATAAGTTTCTCGCCGATAAACCACAGAAGTTCTGCACCGATGAAAATATGAAGCCACCCGAAAAATGGCAAGAGGTCGTAGAAAATAATGGCCAATGTGCATACTTGAATAAAACTGACCTTACAGATAGACTTTTCGCGGAGACTTTTCGAAAGGAAAATCAAAAAAAAATCGCTTACGGTTTTTGACGATTAGCGCTCAACTGGTTATAACTACACTGAGAAAAAATCCACCAAAAATAGGGTTAATAATAAAAAAATCGACGTGATTTTTGATTAATATTAACAATGCCTTGGTTGATATTTTCAATAGCGATATGGTATTATTAACCACACTTTTGTTTACATTACCAAACTTTTGGTTGTCGGTTATTTCGTTTGCATACGCTTATGTTCTGCACTTCACAGATGCTTTTCAATAATTCGGAGATACAAAACAAACATTTTTATGACCATTTTAACACGTTACTTCTGATGGGATTCGAACCTGCATCTTCTGAAAGCTGGCAAATAACAACAAGCATCTCTGCACACTCAGCTACAGCCGCTTTATAAATGTGTCTTCAAATGTTTAACTGGAGTAAATTTTCTTCGTCATTTGATTAGCCTCTGCCCTTCACATATGCTTTTTGTAGTTAAGAAAAACCAAAAACAGAAAAAATATATAAAAAATTATGTGCTGCCGCTGACGGTATTCGTACTCGAACCTGCTGGAAGCCAACAAATAACCGCAAGCATCTCTGCACCAGTGTTGCCGTTTTAGCCCTTTGGTGGCTAGATTTAGCTACCACATGGTTTTTAAAATTGACCGTAGCCCTTTGGAGAATTTATTCATACTTGGCATGAAAAAGTTGTATATGCTTAATTTTATCTCATTTATTTAAGAGATGAATTTTTAAACTGACTGATATGTATACATATATGTATTGTATGTTCCTTATGTTTTTATACATACATACATACATACTGTACTGAACTATAGTTTAAAATAGATAAGTTTACGGCCCTTAATATGCTTAATTTGTTAAATGGCCCATCAAGTCGATTGACCGTGTATGTTCTTGTGGTGTAATTGTACCAGCTGCTGGTGCGACTTCAAAAACTATTTGAAAATTGTATGCCTGTACCAGCATGCTGGTGTCGAGAGTGGTGAAATTAGCTCAATTTTCTAAGTAAAAAGTATTTGGCGGTTATTTCTTGCACTATATGAGTCAAAGCCGTGTTTGTGGAAGATTAAGCTCGCGATATTGCAGTTGTGAATTAAAACAAGTAAGAAAGTCTAAGTTCGGGCGGAGCCGAACATTAAATACCCGGCGCAATTATTAAATATATGTTTTCCACCTTTCCGAAAGCTACCGTACATGATAAGCCGGCGTGTATAAATTTTAAGTAAACTAGCGTCCTTAAATTTCAAAATATTGAAATTTCAAGCATTTCTGAAATCTACCGTTATATGAAAAGCGGCCGTAATTTTAGTCCGATTTCAACAATTTTCAATGGTTTACTTTTATGTGGCAAGCACAATAACCACACCGAGTTTGGTACAAATTGGTAGAACGGTTAGCGAGATACATATACGTGATCATAAGTGGGCGGTGCCACGCCCATTTTCCAAAATTTTATCATTAACGTATTTCCTGGCAAAGAATTGTTGCAACCATCATTTTGAATAAATTAGCTTTAATATTTACTGATTTATCGAAGATTTCGTATTTCTCGAAATTACCGTTATATGGGATGTGGGCGTGGTTATTGTCCGATTTTAAAAATTTTCGGCCATTTGGTATGCTGTAGCAGGGCCAACAACTGTGCCGAGTTTGGAATAAATTGATGCAGCGGTTACCAAGATATACACATGTAACCATAAGTGGGCGTGGCTACGCCCATTTTCAAAAAAATGTTAATATTCTTATTTTTCGTCTAAAATTTATTATAAATGTCAATTTTGAGTGAATTATCTTGAGTAGTTACTAAAATATCACAGTTTTTGTATTTCTGAAAATTGCCGTTATATGGGAGGTAGGCGTGGTTATTGTCCGATTTTGCCCATTTTCAATACCATCCGTCCTACGCACAAAAGAAGTACACGTACCAAGTTTCGTTAAGATATCTTAATTTTTACTCGAGTTATCGTGTGCACAGACGGACAGACGGACAGACGGACGGACGGACGGACAGACAGTCACCGCTTAATCGATTTCTCTTTTCATTCTGATCATTTATGTATACATTTGTCTATATCTATCTCGATTCGTTTTGCCTGTTACAAACAACTGTTATGTGAACAAAGTTATAATACCCTTGTGCACAAGTGCGCTCGGGTATAAAAACAAAAAAACAATGTTTAACAAAATGGTAGAAAAAGTATGAAATTTCGACTCTAAAATCTTTCCTCGACCTCATTTGTGAAGAAATAAATGTGTACCAGCATGCTGGTAAGTTACATGCTTCGAGTCTGATGGTACAATCACTTGATGGAGGCAACAAGCTGGTGTCGTATATTTCCCCTTTTATACAAAAAGGTTTTTGGTTGGATAAAATATTAGCTTTTTTCCCAGAGTACATTTTTTTCTATACCATTACTTATTGAAAATGTTTGCTTGTATACTTATATATGTACATATATGTGAGTAAAAAAAATTTAACTACCATTTGTAGCCACAACGACTTTTTTAGCTCTTTTAGCCCTTTTTTAAAGGAATTTGGCTACCACTAAAAATTATTCGCGGCAACACTGCTCTGCACGTTCAGCTACAGCGAGACATACGAATTTGTTTTCAAATGTTCAACTTTAGTCACATTTCTTACAATCGGTGTTTTTACCAGCAACAAATCCAAATAATAACTTGGTTGAAAAGAGCATTGGGCTATTGGTACAAAGTAAGAAAAAATTGGGACGAAATTTTTTTTTGTGTTCACACGACTGGTAAAATATATTGAAAAATTTTAACAAAATGTGTTTTGCGATGGGGATGAAGAAAACTATTTGTGCATTCACACGATTGGGAAACGATTTGCACCTAATTTTGGGCAAATACCAAAACCTTTATGGAAGACTAAACAGTTATGTTCTCAAAAAAAAAAATGTTTTTCAAACTCTTTGATACATAATTCAACAATATTTTTTTATTATGTATTTTAAACAAATTCACAATGAGTATCAATCACATGGCAACATTCGAAGGTTTTGACAGCACCTAAGGCAGTAATAAAAATTGCCAGTGCAACAACTTGAAATATATTTTCAAAAGCTATTAGGCCTCTTTCAGTTGCAGTCATAGCTTTGAATTTTCATTTCTGAAACTGATTCCGGAAAAGTAACAAAAATACCTTTCTGGGCGTTAGAACGAGAGAGTAAAATTTCACTGTTTTAATTTGACAGCGAAATGCATGGAAAAGATGGAAATTTTTCCACTTCGTATGCTTATGAAAACCCACTAAAATTTTAATGTATTTAACTTTTTGAGGGTAACAGCAAATAAAAATTTATTTATTTTTAAAGGATACCATGGCTCAAAATTAATATCGATAAGTGTCACTTGTATGAGATTGCAATATGTGAAGAGTTTGTGTCAGCTGTCATATATTGCACTGTCTTTTATGTATGCACATAAAAGCTTATCAATGATAACTGCTATACATATCAGCACCGTCAATAACCATGTATGGCAAGGTTGATGCATTTTTTCAAATGACACTTTTAGGGTGAAAATTTCTTGTAATTGAATTTTGGACTGTTGAATTCTTGCATTTAAGTTGAAAGTTTGATCAACCATATACTAGAATTGTTTAAGTTTTTTGTCGGCGGTTGATCTGCAAATAATTTTCTACGTGCGTGCATATCGTCGTTTCTGTAAAACCGCGTAATTGACATTTGCTGCCAAAAATTGGATTTGCTTACACAAGCTCTTGGCTCTGGCCTTATCCATTCGTTCTGAAATATACTAGCTAGAAATGCGATTGCTTTATAGAAAAGAGAACCATTTTGAAATTTGAGTGTTTCTACGCTCTAGAAAATAATTTATGCAACCTCACATATGCGGTTTTGCATTTTATTGATACGCGGTGTTGTACTTTAAACGACGATATATTTATGATAATTTGTTTTCGATATGCTTGCAAATGTGACGGGCATTGCTATTGTGCTCTGTCGTTCTTATTAAGTTGTTTTGAAAATATGTAATTGAAACAATGTAATTAATTTTAAAAGGCTTTTTTACTGATATAACAATCAGTTCTGAAATACATTTGCATGTATATGGATACACGAGTTGAGTAAATTACAATATTAGCCTAGAGGATTAACTGTGGCAAAAACCTCTGTGTTGTACATTCATACATACTACATATATGCCTCATATCTCAAGAAAACTCTTGACATACCTTAATAGTTCAGCTCTATCAAGACTGCGATTTGAGCATAAATTATAAACGAACCCTCAATACTTTTTTACAACGTTTCATAAATCGAAGCAACACTTTTCGGTATTAGTAGTATGTAGTGCACTTATGTTTATATGTACATACATATATATTTAGAAATCGTAATACATACGTATACGCAAACACAAGCCTTAAAAGCAAATGGAATGCAAATTTATACATTTACTAAACAGCACATCTTTCTTCTAGGTCCTCCAGGCGTACCTGGCGAACGTGGTGAGGTGGGCCCAGCTGGACCAGCTGGTCCGCCCGGCGAAAAAGGTCCACGCGGCAAACGTGGCAAGCGGGTAAGTAATCTAGCAGCCAAAACATTCAGTTGCAAAACTTTATAATCAAATTCCTTCAACGCTTTGCTTTGCTTTGTATTTGCAAACACAGCACACAATTGTATCCAGCGTCTGGGTTGCTATTACGCCGCTTAAATACGTTGGGGCGTATACGCAACCAATCTCAAGACGCTGTCGATGCAAATGTTAACATACTACTACTAAACTAAGGATAAAATTATGTAGATAGAATGTAAATATTTGGAAAGTAGAAAACACTTTAAAGTACACATATATATATATATATATAATGCTTGAAGTAGCCCAGGAGTATTGGATGAAGTATCTAGAATTTGTTTGTAGGTAGCTGCCAGATTTTGTATTTTTTAAATATATGTACATATGTACTATAAGCACCTATGCATGCATTATGAATACAACTTACTCATGTACCTATTTAAATATGTACTTAGAATTTTGAACATGTATATATGTATATATGTGTTTGGATGTATACAGGAATGATAAATAGTAATAACGCGGTTTTTTGTATGTTTATGTGAGACTGTTTCTGTTGCTGTATAAATTTATACACTTTTGTTTACGCATTTGTATTTGTGCAAGAGTATGTTACAGAATCTGAAGTACATTAAATTGTGTTACAAAGATTTTTAAATATGACAAAGCCTGAATCTGAGTTACCACCACACTCCTTATATAACCTCCTATAAATGTGTGTGAATGTGTGTACACGATTTCGATAACTCTTGTTGCGTCGGAAAAGTTATGTCTCAGAGGTGGTCCCATACTAATCTGGTTAAGATCCGATCAGAGGAACAAGAGATATTTGTATATATATATTTTATATGAGAATTTAAGTCGGTTTTTTTTGCTAAAAACTACTTTTCCTAATTTTTGCACAAAGTTTGAAATTTTGACATGCATGGTTTTTGCTAGATAACGAGCTATACTTTTATAAAAAAAAAACAATAAAAATTAAATACTCTAAAGCGAAATAGCCAAAAAGAGGCTAAAATGTCTCTTCCCTATTTATGTTTTCAACACTGTATATTAATTTCATATTTCTTTCACACGTAATAGAGAAATCTGCTTTGCTCTTCTTATTTCTTGAAACATGGCTCTGAATAACCTTAGTTTTAAGCCTATGTCTTTTATTAAAATACGACGACCTCACTTAAAAAAAAAAAATCAGTTTTCTCAACCAAACGCCGAGTTCCGAACGTACACATACAATTATTTTGAAGTTAATTCAACCTTTAGGTTCGATTTTATAATACATTTTGTTAACTTCATTATTCTCCAAAGTATTCTCGTAGATTGTGTTCTCCATACATGGCAATTTTCGGAAATATGTTGCATTGTTGGTCATATCAAAATTCCTCCCATTTTGTGTAACGTCCGCATACAAATTTCGAGAGCAATTACACCGCCATTAATTTGAATACAAACTTCCAAAATTTTGTTCTCATAAGTACTGCCTTCAACCTTCAATTATATGTACGACTACATGCCATAAAAGTGTTTTAAATTATCTATTTTTTTTTGCCGACTTTAAAAGCCGAAAATTAAAAGAAACGTCCGAATGCTAGGAGTTGCCCATATCCATGTACGCATGTATGAAACTAAGAATTCTATTATATTTCTCAGCATCGTGCTCTTCTTTTGCATCTTGAATACCTGCTAAGCCTAACACTTCTGCCACACGTTGCTAAGCTAAAGAAATATAAATCATCCTATCTTAGCGAGCGCTAGGCATGTGTCCCCATTACCGAACCAGCTAAAATCTAATTTACAGGTGTATATACATACATATGTACATACATATTTAAGGATTCAAACATTTGTTGCATATATATTAAAAATTTAAGTCCACTTTCACGTCGTAGCATTTACCCGTACGTGCATGCATTCGCACTAGTAATAATCATTAAATTCTCTGACTACTTTCCCCATCAACTCAACTTGCTAAGCTTGCACATTTTTCTATCGAACTTCTTTAACCTATCTTCGTAAATTATTGGATAATGTATCCAGAAATGAAATTATGTGTACTCGTTAACGTAATTGTCGTACACGTTGCCGCGGCATTGTTGGGATCATATTTTCCATATTTTTTTTTCTTTATTTTCTTTTTTCGTACGTATTATTATGCAGCACGTCTCTTACCGAGGTTTGAGTCAAGCATACTCAAGATTTGCAGCAGAAACATAACCTACTATTTATTCTAGCTCGTGTATCAATGGTTGAAGGACGAATGTTGCCAAATGTGCGACATAAGAATATACATATGTATGTATATACATGTGTGTACATATTGTGAATATGAAAACTTTCGCGCACGTACAACGGAACAGTGACTATGAAGGCCATTCACAGAAATGTCGTTTTTGCTATTGTTTACTAATGGTTGTTTTATTGTTTGATTGGTTGCAACCATTACTAAGGATTTTCAAAATTTAAATAAAACACAGTTTCACAAAAAAACATCAATGTAATCCAAAGGAAACTACAGTGAAACCCGCTGTCCAGGCAAATTATCATGGAATGGTTGATTGCCATTCTACTATATTTTACTCTCTGTCTTTTTTTTTTGTGAAAATGTGTGTAATTAAGGTCGACTTTTGCAACAGATTTATAGAAATTGAACATCTATTTATTCTATTTTAATGCTTCGACACCATTAATGAAGCCTTTACTAGGTAAACTTCATTGTGTTTTGTTGTAGTAGTAAGTGGTCAAGGTAAAAGCCTAAAGACCAAAACATATATTCTGAATTTACTAGCTTCTGATGTTGAGCCTGGCCGGTTTTCTGGAATCCCTAGGTTCATGTAATTCAACTATGTTCTTACTGGTGCATAATTAGATATACATACATACATATCCCACACCACCTTCAAAAGGTGCACAACTCAAAAATAATGAAGTTCGACTTTTTTTGCATAAGTCGAAATGATTTATTTAGACTTATCTCCAATGAATGGAAGTATTTTTTTCCTCATGATTATATTCTCCAATTAGAAAACTACTGTTATACCCGCCTCGTTTGAAGTTGGTATGCGATATAAACAAATTAGAGACACTAAGGGCGAGGCCACGTAAGGAGCGGCTGAGCGATGAGTGGCCTTTATTCACTTCAGTAGTATGCCATATATTTTCATTTTAAGCCGCTCACCGCTCAGCTGCTCATTGCGTGACCTCGGCCTTAGGATGATGGTTCCGCGTGCAGAAGTCCCCGTATGTGGACAAAGTTTCTGACCGCAATTCACCCAATCCCAAAAACGATTATTTTGCATCCGGTTGAAGCAGCTCACAGCCGTTCGATGTTTACACCATGTATCCTCTGCGCACCAACCCAACACCAGTTCGGATGCGAGCAGGCGAAACCACACCTCATTTGAATCCATATTCCTTTAATGACGACCACGGGAAACGACTAAAGGACCATTATTCAAGGACATCCACGCCCTTGATGAGGAAGCTGCTTCTGCCCGGCTTATTGATGTTCTCATGAAGGCAAAGGCTGACATCAGCGCCCTCCAAGAAATGAAATGGATGGGACAAGGCAAGCAAGTATGTGAAGGAGCGTGAATTCGTGATGTGAAGTTTTGTATTTATGACTTTTGCTGGTACCCAAGATGTATTTCTATAAGTGCTTGTAAAAACAATTTAAAATAAGTTTGAAAAATAATTATAAAACTGAATGTTTTTTTTATGACATGTTTTATAAAAGCAATTCAGCTTAGTATAATGACTATTTTCTTGAGTCACTGTAGTGAATACTTAGTCGTATTTATCTGAGAATGTTTGTATATATATGTACATATACATATGTATGTACATCGTTAAGACTTGGTGAAAATCTAGAGAAAGCAATGAAGGAAATGTGTGACAAAAATAATAAAAACAAAATCGCTATCTATGTACAAGCAATAAATTGGTGGCATTCCATTGGGAACTTCAAAAGCAAACTATGTACATACATACATATAAATATGCAACTACCGTAATCTCAGCTAAATTGTCGTCAATGTTGTGCGTGTGTACGAAATAACTGCTATATTACACCTGATGTTTGGCGCATGGTTTATTCCCACGGGCACTATCTAGCCACATACTTAGTAAATATTAACAGATTAATTTGCAATTGATGAGGCTGAATTGGTGTAGAAGTAATGCGGGCAACTGAGGGCATTGGCGCAAACTTGACACCACTGCAGACAGTAAGCAAAATATTTTTGGCGAGCTTTAGCAGTCAATTAGAAAGAGTGAACTAAAATTAGGAGCTGAAAGGAGTTTCAACTTTGAGCTTTTTTAACGGTCCTTTTTTTGTTATTTTCCTGTAAAAATGCCTCTGAAGTGAGATTAAAAAGTAAGTACCAATAAGAAGTAAGGGAACAAAAGAAGAATTTATCCTGTAAAAACGACAACCAGTGATCGCCTGACACTTTTCATGATATTACCAGAAAGGATTTTGGAGTACGGAATAATTTTTCCTGTAACTTCCTGCAAGTTCGTGTAAAAATTCTTCTGATGTTAAAGAAAAGCTGCTCACTCTAGTCTCAATTTTTCAAGAAAAAGTTCGGCAAAACGAGGATCAATAATTCACAACAGTATTTTGAGATAATTTTAATTAGTTTTACTCTCATCGACATCATGCGAGGTGTGTATGGAGGATTCACATTTCTGGTGGCTGTTTCGAAACCAGACAAATGCAGAAATGAACGAATGAATAAAAAACTTTAAATGTTACCCACATTGCTTATATTTTCTATCTGGTTTTTTGAACTTTTTACTTATTAGTGGAAAAAATGTGCATCAAATTCGCTCTGATGTGCACCGCATGCGTTCAACTAAGAAGTTTCATACTTTTAATCCTAGAAGTTTTTTTCGTGTGTATGTGTGTACTTGGGTTGCGTATCTCTTAACTGGCAGTATATAACTGCTTAACATTTTTATTGGAACTTGGGTTTTGAAGCAAAAAAAAAACATTCATATCTGTC